CAAGGCTGGGAATGGATGGCAGCGTAAATGACCTGCTGGGGGGTCTCTCTCTCTTTCTCATGAAAGAAGTAAACTTAAATAAAGGTGAAGAGAGATATAAGCCAAATACACTTGTTATTCTTCTTTTTCTTTATTCATGATAGAGTGCGTGGGTGTGCCTGAGAGTGAGAGAGACAAGCACCCCACACAGGGCTTGGTCACAATCCCCTGCGGCCCATCAGATCTTGTGCACTGGCCTAGATGCCCACATGCTTCAGTTTGATGGGACTGGGGATCCAAACAGCAGTTGGTGGTCATGTGAGGAATCAGAAATATCATAATTACTCCAATTACCATTGGAATATAATTTTCTTTGTTTTCTTTTACAAAATATTGTTAGTTTTAAAATGCAAGCTTTAAAAATAGGTGTATCGGGACCAGCAGTTAGCGTAATGGCTATGTCGCTGGACTCCCATGTAGTTGACCACGGTTCGCGTCCTGGACCCGGTGGCTTAAAACTCACGCCGGACGCGTGTGCGTGCATGCCCAAGATCCCGAGAGGAGAATGGAGGAGAAGGGGTTGCAGTGTGACCATCCCCACGGGGATTGTGGCATGGCCATCCCCCGGGGGGGGTGATTTCTTGCTTTCTGTCTCTCTGTCTCTCTCTGTCTGTCTGGTGAGCGTATGCACCCTATAGCGAAAACCTCTCAAAAAAAATAAAAAGTAAAAAATAGGTGTATCAACAGCCCATGTGGGCGTTTTGCATCTTGAGCTGAGTGGATGATTCTGGACTGATTGGTCAATTCAGTTAAGCTGGCTGTAAAGGGAGTTTGGCTAAAATACAAAAACTATATTGTATTATTGCCACTGTTCTGATGAAATCACTAGTCATTTAGGGAGGGAAAAGGAGGATCCAAATGATGTAGCTAAAATCATAAGAAAACTAAATTTGTTAGTGATCATAGCTCAGATAGCCTCTGAGGGACAAAAAAGAGGCACACCAATGCTGCTGCATCTGGCTATTCTGAAACCCTCTGCAGCACCTCGCCATCCTCCCCCCAACTCACCCAGGCCAAGGCTTCTGCTCCATTAACAAATCTTACTATGGTGTACATAATTCCTCAAGTAAGCTATTACCATTCCATGGCTAGAAAAAAAAAAAAAAGACTCTGAATGATAGAACATTTAAAGACAAAGGAAAAAATCCTAAAAGGCTTTTTGGACAAGAAGAGAAAAAAAACTGCAAGAAGGATAATCAGATTTTTATTTAGGGCAATAGAGAGGTACCAGCACCATCAAAGGACACCAGGCAATAATTGACCACCATATCTACCTTTAGGCTAAGGCTACAGGGAATAAAGATCTACTCAGCAACTGCTACCAGCCACTTTTTTTTTTTAAGCAAGCACCCAACATTATGTCTGCCATCCTCTCTAAGACATTCTAAGCTCCTGCTCCCCTTCTACCCAAGCAAGGCTTCCTTGAACCTCCAACAGGCCACAGAACAGTGCCTCTCTGTGGCTGAGGCTCATAGCCCGAGCCCACTAATTCCCCCACTCCTCCCCATTGACTTCCTTCATTCCTGGAATGAACCTGGTAAGGAAGGCCAGGAGCTGTGGAGAGGAAGATGGGGCTTGGCAGAGGATGACAAGCCGGTTGCCTTTTTCCCTCTCCAGGCCCCCCCTTTATCCCTCCAGGGCCTCCTCTGACTGAGCCTCTGTGGGGACAAGGCTCTTGAGACAGTGATCTGGGGCAAAGATGAGCTTTGAGTTCTCTGCTAAGGGCCTCATGTTCTTGCCAAGATTCGTGCTACCAGCCACTTTTAACAGTACTTTACCAGAATTCATATTTCAAAGCAAATAATAGATATTCTTCATAGAATGATCTCACCCTACCCACTGAGGAAAACATTCTCAGGACCTTGAATTGACACCGCTTTAAAAGCTTTGTTTCATTGCTTTAAGAACATAGAATATCTTAAAAATAATTTATTTTTACTTATTATTATTATTTTAATTTGTTATAAGGCACGTGTGCTCGAGAGAGAGAGAGAGAGAGAGAGAGAGAACAATCTGCCAGGTCCAGGCGCAGGATTCAACCCATGGTCACCCATCCATGAAATCTGCCAGGTCCAGGTGCAGGATTCAACCCATGGTCACCCATCCATGATTCAAACCATGGTCACCCATGTGGGAGTCTAGCCTCTTCACCTCCACACCACCTGCTGGCCCCTAGAATATCTTTTAAGTTCATTTTTACATGAAAATACTGCACTAATTTAAATAATACTTGTTCCTATAGTTGTCCTACTTCCAAATTGCTGTTTCCATTATGTTTTAATAGCAGAAGATAATCAAATATATGATGTGCATATTGAACCTCTAGCTTTACATACCTTTCTGTAAAATAGTGCAATGCAGGACTGACAGAAAGCCGTGCTTACCTATTTGAATATATAGAAACAAGCAACACAGTGGTAGATTTAATATCGTTAAATGATCATGACCTTTAATATGACTAATAGTATAATTTCAGTGACTATTTCAAATCTTGCGTACCCAAGACAAGATTTCAGGAGTCTGAAGTTCATATTTGCTATTTCAGAATTTCTGTGTGTTTCTAGTAGTTTTCTTCTGAGTAGTGCCTTTATCTTTACAAATGCTTATGGACATCTTCCTTTGCTTTTGCAAAGCCTTCTGTATGATCATAAATCCCTCCTTGGGAGGCAGGGCCTTTGCCAATATCTGTGCTTTTATTGTAGAATCAGCCAAGATAGCCACTTCTCTGCAGGTCACAGCATAACCTGTTTTTCCATAATGCATGAAGGACATCACCTAACACCAAGGTGTGCACTCACATGCTCGTGTGTGCACAGCCACAGACACAGCAAGCTCACATGCATTTACACTCAAGCTCAGGAAATGTATATTTCAGATGGCCAGAATCTCCCTGGCCCAACTCTCCTAGATGCTGTTCAGATGCTGCGCACTGACACCTGCCTTTTCCATGAAGTCTGTGGGCACTTGGCTTGGTGGTGATACTAGATGTCATCTTCTCCTACATCCTCAACTTCCACCCAGAAGACTCATTCCCAGATCTGACTGCAACCCATTCTCTTCCTGATAATTACCGGTAAGTAGCTCTCGAGTTCTGGACCAGCACACCATAAAAACAGTCACCTGGAACCATTGTGAGGACAAGGACCACACGTGATTCATGTGTATATCTCCAGCTCCTCTCACCATGCTCAGGTTATGATAAATTGGGCACATACAGCTGAGGTCTGGTCTTGTTGGGTCCTTTACCTGGCTTTCGGCTCTTGCCCAACAATTTTTCACATCTATCCCCAGTTCAAGGTCTTTCTAGTCAGAAAGAAAAGTGTGTTTATCTGCCCTGATACATATTGTGTCTCAAATTAGCGTGTCACACTTCCAAGGGTCTTTGTACGCTTTCCAAGGAGATTGGGGGAAAGGAGACTGGGATTAATGGATCCTGAGAAAAAAGTAATCACCTTTATTCAGGTTTTGAGGGAGCAGGCTCCACGAAGAGCCTCAGATCTCAACTCCAGCCAGGCCTTAGGCTCCTTTGTTAAGTCATGTCCACCCCTGTCCCCACTCTCCAGAAACAACTGTCCTAAGGCCTGAGAATTGCCTCCTGCCTTTGACACTGTCTGTTCACCAGGCAAACTGGCTTTCTTTCTGGCTTCACATCAGTTCCAAAAGAGGAAATGGGATTTTGCCCCGCTCTCATTCCCACCCTCCCTGAACCTGCACCGCTCCTGTTCACGCCTGTCATTTTCCTACTAAAGCCAAGCTCATAGCCAGACACCCGCTTCCTGAGATTGGCTTCCCAGATCTAACAGTAACAGCCCACGTTAACTGAGTGCTCATCATGTAGCAGGGACAGTTCTATATGCCCCATGGGTTTGATCTCATTGAACCCACACATATTACGTACCTACTGTGATGACCAGTACCTCACTTAATCACGCTGTGATGTTTATCAGTGCAAATAAAAGAATATCCCACCTCAAAACAATAAGAAAATGTGTTACCTAAATTATTAAGGGCTTCTACAGTCAGGCTGGCTCTAGGAATGGTTCAATGAGGATATTTGGGCAGACGCAAACGAGAATGAAAACTCTGAAACCCTCAAATTCTCCTGACTCTCCCTGGCTGCCAGAGGTGGTCTCCACAAATTCTTCAACCACGTTCCTCTGCATTATAAATATCATTGACTTAATCTGGGGTAATGGCACCCCAAAGATCTGAAGATTCTTCTCAATGCCCCTCAACCCTTTCACTGTCTCTGAACCCTCCACACCCACAGAGATCTTGGTCTAGCTCTGATAGCAGTACAAAGACTGGTTCAGGAGATAGCCAAGCATGCTGCCAATTTCTTTAAGTAGGAATCTGAGGCACATGTATGGGTGGGAAGCCTAAGAATGCCTGCCCGAGGATAAAATGTTAAGATCAGGCACATTTCACTGTAAATGCGCTTACCCAGAATAAAGGCTTTAATGTTACCTCAAGCACCAGAGTGGCATTAAAATAATGTGCTATGCTGGTTAATTGAAGCCTGAACTCAACAGCAGCCCACAGGCAATAAGGATAAAGAGGCAGAACTTTCCTGGCATAGTGTTAGGGAACAGAAAAGCCCAAGGGAATGGGGATACTGGATATGTGTCCAGGTCTCTGACTGTTGTCTTAGTTTAATTATTAATAGTGCCCATTCTCACTTTCAAAAGCATCCTGGTTTGGAATAATAGGCCACCTGCTCAGCCACCCCTTACCCATACCACACTGGAGGGCCCAGAGACACCTCCTTCACCAGAGTTTTAAGAAATGCCTTAGTGAGGAGAGTTCCAGAAAACCTATTAAAACCCTGTGGTGCCTGTTCCCTATACCCCGGTGATGGCAGTGGGGAATACTGGGATTGAACTGGGTTTCTTGATCTCATTGGGTATAATGGAACTCAGAGTAAGAGGTAGAGGCCATTAAAAGACAATCATTACTTTCTTTCTTTATTTTTTGTAGTGCTTGATATTTATTGAAAATAATGCCAATGCTTTTTCCAGGTAGTATCAAGGAGCTGGGCTGAGTGCCTATTTTTGTTTGTTTGTTTTGTTTTGAGTATTATTTGTCCAAATGCACACATCTGTGGGACTGTTGCAGTTTTGAAAGAAAAATGAGAGCTGTGCACAACCAGTGCCAGAGGAGAAGAGAAATGTCAACTATTTGTCTGCCAGGCACACCAGACCACTGCAGAAACCTGGTGGGCCAGAGGAGGATCCTGGGAGTACACAGGGAACTAGCCAGGCTGAAAGATTGGCCCCTCCACGGGTTGGTGACCTGTCCAAATCAATGTCTGAAAGGGTGTAGCCAACTCAAGCACCTTCTAGGTTGGTCCTTATTTCCAAAGGCATTGGCCTGTCGATGCCATGTGGTGGGTGATGGTGAAGCAGCAGCTTAGGTCTCTGGAAAGATGGAGGCCTGGCAATCGGGCTGGTGACAGCAGCAGGGCTATGGGTGGTCTGCAGTTTATAACAGGGGCCTGGCCAATAGCTGGGGCCCAGGACTCAGTTCAGATTGGCAGGGAAGGGGTCCTGGGAGTAGCCAGAGTGGATGAATGTGCACTTCAGAGCTAGGAAGCTCCAGCCCTAGCAGCAGGTAAGTAGAGCACTATTCCTGGAACAAAGACAAGCACTAAAGGGGGTATGAGGGAGAGAATAGGAGGGCAAGGGTAGGGCAAGGGCTCTGAGGGCACAGGAGAACCCAGCGGCTCCAGGAGGGGCGGGATGGGAGCAGGGGAAGGAGGTGGTGGCGTGCATGCCCCTCCCCAAGGCCGGAAGGGCACCAGGCCTAGTAATCATCTTCTTCATCGTCGTCTTCGTCATCATCATCCCAGCCAAAACACTGTTTCATCTCATCGAGGAAGGCCCGGTAATCGCCCAGGATGGGGCTATCCATCTCGATGTAGGGCACCACCCACTCCTCGGCTTCCCCGGTGAGGAGGCTGATTAGGAATGCCACCTTCATGGCGTCGTTGCAGAATCGGTTCTCGTTCACCGGC